TGTGCCACTCTGCTCAGATATAAATATTAAATTTATAAATATTAAAATATTTAATACATATAATTAATTTAATATTAATACATATTAAATCTGCTGTCATACTTCCAGCCTTGTGCTGGTGGGACAGGAAGAGAATATTTTGTTATTACCCTTGATGCTGTTCTTTTGTTTCTTTCCATTCTTTTCAAGTCTGGAACTGCATTTGAGCTCTGTGTCTTCCTCAGACACAGTGGACAGTGTTTCCAAATTCCCCCTGTTGTAGCTGTTACTACTTCTATCTCCTGTGCTGTTTCCCTTGGAGCTGTGCCATGGCTCCCTGCTCAGCCAGGCTGCTCTGCTCTCACATCTGCGTGTTTTCCTGGCTGTTAGGAAACAGAGGATGCTGTATGTGTGCTGTGGCTCGCTCAGCAGTTGGGGTGCAGTCTTGGTCACCTGCTCTGCCAGTCCTGCCTTGCTGCACTTCTCCACTATCCTGGCACTTGGGGGGAAGTTTGATGCAGGATGGTTGGGGACTGATGTGATTGAGGAGCCCTGGTTGTACAACAGTGTAACTGTGCTAAAGAAGTCCACACTAGGCACATCTGAGCCCTTTAATCTGTTCTTACCCTCAGAAACTACAGCCACTGCTTTGAGTTCTGCTGATGCCTGGTATTTTTGTGGTACTTCTCCCTGCACTCGCACCTGTTTAGGCTCTCTGGTTATCACTCTTGGCACGGTTTGTAAAGCCAAACAAAAAACTCAAACCCAGCTCACGTCCTCCAAAAACTGATTCCCAGTTCTGAAAACAAGTTCTAAACTAAGTTGCCATCATGCTGAGATGCACTGACTAACAGGAGCCAGATTTGATTTTGGGGTTTCTTGTGGAGGACAGGATGGGGAGGAGCTGAGTTAGCTGCTCTCAGTGAAGTGCTCTGCTGTGTGTCAGACTCCTCAGTGAAGCTGGAGTTGTCAGCACTGGGCTGGGAATGAGGAAGAAGCTGGAGACTGAAGCCGTGTGTCTCGGGAGCTGGGAAAGGAAGCAGGGACATGGACAGAAACCCAAGTGATGCACGGGAAGAAAAGCAGTGCCCTCTCTCCTGAAAGGGCCTTTTATCATGGAAACAAAACTTGATTCTTTCTGCTGAAGGAGTGTAGTATTTTGCTTAAAACTAGATTTTGTAGTTACTTTGTTAATTATTTGTGCAGATAAGGACCTACTTGTTGCTCTTTTTTAGCTTTGTCTCTTGAGTAAATTTATGTTTATGTGAACTTTAAAAAATATTTTTTAATTCCTATCCACTAAAACATTTGGAAAACTGTTACAGCACCAGTTTCTTTTGTGCTACAAGTTTCTATAGCAGGCTGGGAGCATCAGGAGAAAGCAAAAACCCTTCTCTCCTTGCTGGGGTAAACACTTGACAGCAGTCATAATATTGTGTAAATGCTAATTCCTTATATATTTCCTGTCATCCTTAGCACATAGGTAGATTGTACTGTTTTGGAGTAAAATGATGAAGCAAAGAGTATTCCTGCACAGGCATCTGTGAGGTGGAAATGTCTCCTGCAGTGACAGGACTGTTGTGTTTTGGCCCAGCCTGGGTAGAGATGAACACTGGGCACTGAGTGGGAGAAGATGGCTGAGGCTCATTGTTAAAATACCCAAAATATTGGGTATTTTAGAGCAAGATAAGTTAGCATATACTGTCAGTTTTGCATGGGTTGGGTTTTTCTAGCACTTAAGGGCTATAAGGTCATGTTATATTACTGTAGTTTAAAGGTGGTAAGTACAGATTAAAAGGGATGGTCTGCATTCTAGATTATTGTTGAGAAATACAGGTAATTGATAGTTTCTTACCTATTGTCAGGTAAAAGCTAATAGGACTGTAATACTGGGGTTCAGTATGAACTTACTGTCAAATGCCTAGTGAGAGAACGAATGAACTTTTGTGATCCTGCCACTTTCAGAGCCTTCTTTTTTTAGTCAGTGTTTGTTTGGGTAAACCCCATTACGTTCCTGCCCCCTCACTTCCCAGGACATTCAAACTGTTGGATAAAGAATAGTCACTGAGGAATTTGTATAAAACTGGAAGTGAAAAAGATGCAGAATTTTGCTCTGACAGAAACAGTAAAGAAGGCCAGACAAAAACAGTAAAAAATTATACAATCACTTTGTGATGGTACTTTGGGGACAGACATTTGGAAGGAGAAACGTGTAAGGTGTAGGATAGGACTTGTACAGGAACAAGTGGACACAGAATATGTACACCTGAGTTTGGAAAAGGAGAGCATTGTCTGGAGGCTGTAGAATGTGCTTTCAGAGTGCCTGGCAAGCTGCTGTTAACATGGGCACGTGTGTGTGTTAGGGCACAGTTTCTGATTCCAGGGACTGGGCCCAGGTCACGTGGTGCCTTTTGCTCCTGGGTGTCCATGGGTGTTGCAACTTAGGTCTGGTTTTATCCTGGATATAAGTAACTTAAAATTCCTTGTCACTGATCTCTAACAGTGCATAAACACATAACGTGTGTGATGCTTTGGAAGGAAACAAAGGAGTGTGGGCAGCCGGGGAGAGGGGGATTCTGTCCCTCGACTCCACTCTGGTGAGACCCCATCTCCAGCCTGGAAACCCCAGCACAAGATAGACATGGAGCTGCTGGAGCCAGGTGGAATGAAATCGTGTCTAAGGTACTTTCAAACTAATTCTATTCCTGCTGTGGAATCCTGCTCTTCTTCACCTATTAGGAAAATAGTCCCCCAGTCCTCCCCAGTGCAGCATCCATCGAGGAAGTGAGAGTCCTCCAGGGCTCACTGTGGGTCACACTTGGAGGGATTAGTCTTGTTTGGGGTATGCTTCCCTGGTCTTTAAGGGCCCATTTCCATATTTTTTATTAGAACCTGGTTCTGTTTGGTACTTTGCTGGAATATTCATGTTTATGTGACTTTTGGGACAGACTGAAAATATCCATAAAACTGCTGTTGCTCTGAGCCTTCAGAGCAGGGCTGGACCTGTGAGGGATGTTGGATCCTTCCCATCCTTGCAGAAGTCATTGCCAACTGTCCACCTGGTATTTTTTCCCTCTTAAACTTACTTCAGACTAAGAAAACAAAAGGTAAGAAAAATAAGAGAAATAAGGTAGAGTCCAGGTGCTCAACATTTTTCTAATTGTTCAATTACTCATTTTCTTAATCAGAGGTAAATAATCTCAGTAGGTAAGTGGGTGGGAACCAACCATATTTGATCTCAATGACTGACCATCTTTGACTAATAAAACAAAAGGAATGTTATAAAGGAATCACAAAAACCATGCTGTGGGTACATGTTAGAAACATTGATCAGAATTTTTCGGATGTTGTCTGTAGGTCTCCAGAGGATGGAGTTAAATCCTCCTTGGCTGGCACAGAGCAGTTTGCTGTTAGTTGTGTGCCTGGTGTCACAGAGGCTGGTTTGGAGCTGGTTTAACACCAGGTCTCTAAGGGAACAGGGTGTTGTTTCTGTGCATGCCTTGAACACAGGGGGTCTGGCTTCTCTTAAGAGTTTTAGCAGAGGGCAGAAATTACCTGTGAGTGTTTATACAAAGGGTGCATTAGACAGCAGGCTCTGCCATTGGCAGGGTTCAGCTGAGTTGCTGCTGGATTAGGTTTCACAAGGAAGCAGCCAAAGGCAGAGGCCGTGCCAGGAGCTGGTGCAGCTCTGCAGTCAGTCTGCTGGCATGAAAACACTGAAGGTTATTTGGGGCATCCTTCCATTCCCTTGTGGATTTTACACTTGCAATCTTGATGTCTCAGCAGACTGGGCATCCTTTTTTTCTGTATCTGAAGTTAATCTGCAGTTTTCTTAAGCCCTTTTCATAATTTCCTCTGACATTTGTGCCATGATATATTATCATTGGACTCCTGTGTCTGTATTTGGTCTTCTGAAATGTCAGGAAAGCATAAGGAAACTTCCTTGTCAGCTAAGACCATTGCAGAGCCAAGCAGTGTGATTAAAAAGGGTTATTTCACCACAGAGTCCTTTACCATAACAATTAGCTTTGTCTTCTAATGTCCCTAATAGAGCTTAATAATTTAAAAGTAGTATATTGTTAGAGGAAAACTGCACATTTTCCTATGCATGCTTACAATTTTCTTTAGAAAATCCCACAGATCTGGCAGACAAGGAGAAGTTGGCTGAAAGGGGTGTGTCTGGGGTTGGATTGCAGCTTTTTTATTGCTCTGAGACAGTCTTGAAAGTATTTTAGTTATTTTTAAACCTACACTACTAAGAACCCGTAATTGTTGGGAAATTGCAACCCAAAATGATCCTAATATATGTTATAATTGATAGTAGCAATTGTGGAGATTGGAGATAGAAGCAGAGCATGTAAGCATCCAAAAATATCCTTTTCCTTAAATATTTTAAGGATTTTTATTATTAATATAAAATTATTCCTTTAAGAGTGAACTTAAATAAGGTAACAGTATATTAATTGTCTGCCTTAAGGAGAATTTTTCACTCTTCACTATGATGCTGTGTTTGGGAAACTGGCTGCTTGTTAGCTGTATTAATGAAGGATTGGAAACTTCTTTTTCCTTCTTGTACCCAGGGGTGGAGGTCGGAATAGCCAAAGAAATCATGAGGGTCTTAATTTCATACCTTACAGTTCATCGTTGACATTTTCTCACTTTCTGCTCTCCATCCACAAGACTTTGTACTGATGAACTTAGTTAAGTCATTGCCTTTGTTCCCCACCCATGAAGTTTGCAAGACTGGTCAGAGTTTGTGTTTTAGCCCTGAATTTCTGACTGTTAAAGGGTGCTCTGGCCCATGCCTGCTGTCTGTGAAGGCAGAGGGATGTCCAGAGTGGAAACAGAAGACCTCTGAGTTACTCATGATGTGTGCCAGCCTTGGGAAACCTCCTTGGCTTACTGAAATACTTGCTGTGTGGATTGTGTATGTTAAATTAACTTCTTGTTTGCATTTCCTTTCAATTTATTAATTCAATAATTTTGTTAGGATTAATTTTAAAAAATGTTCTTCCCTTTAGGACACAGCTTAGGCTACGGCTTTGTGAACTACGTAACTGCAAAAGATGCTGAAAGAGCAATAAACACACTGAATGGCCTCAGACTTCAGTCAAAAACTATCAAGGTAGGAGCTCTTCAGTCATCTGTGAAGACAGCATTGTAATAAACTTTATTCTGATGGTAAAGTTTGTGTGCTCCCAGCTGCAGCAAGCATGAATCTGGGAGGAGAGTAGTGAAGTGTTTTGAAACAGCTTAGTATTTGAAGGTTCCCTTTCTTTATATTCCCACCATTTTTACAGCAGTAGAGGGATCATTATAGATGGCTTCCAGGCGTTTAACTCATGCACATCTTGGATGCTTCATAATATTTCTTGTAAATCTTGTTAGTACACGTGCACTCCTTTCCTTCTCCAAAACAACAGCCTGTGCTCTGTGTGTAGGATTCACTCCTGCTGAGGTGATCTATGCAGCTTTCTCCCCTACCAGAAATTATGACAGAAAACTGCACTCTACTCGTATCATCCTTTTAAGAAGCTTTAGAAAATATACTGGCAGGACAAGTTCCTGATGTAAGCTCAGGTCCAGTGGCTGAGTCAGAACTCGGGATTCTTTGTTGCCAAAATTGTTTGCTGGGAGCATTGGTGTTGTTCTGTTGCTGTCTCCTTACAGCAATGCTAATATAGTTGTTATTTCTTGGGTTATCCCAAAAAGAATGGCATTATGTAGGGACATGCCATTGCTCCTGTTGTTTGGTTGATTTTCCCCTATTCTCTCTTGGTTCCATTTTTTTGAACTCCAGTAAAAATGCATGTGTTGGTAATGGAGGAGTTAAGTAAATTGGCTCATGACAATAAATTGATCTTCGCTGTTAATACTCTGAAGATGTATTTTCATTTCTTTTAAAGGTTTCCTATGCCCGCCCAAGTTCTGAAGTTATCAAGGATGCTAATTTATATATCAGCGGCCTGCCGCGGTCAATGACACAGAAGGATGTAGAAGATATGTTCTCCCGTTTTGGGCGCATCATCAACTCACGTGTGCTTGTGGATCAAACCACAGGTGAGTTCTGGGACCGTGGCTGTGGAAACTGGAATGCACAGCATGTGTTTGGTGTTTTCTGAGACTGGCAGTACCTACAGACTTGCACAAGCTAATCATGACATCTGCTGTCAACTGGTGATAGAATTTTAACAGGATATCCATGTTCAGTGATTTTTTTTAAACACAGAATGACTCACACTGCCTTTTCCAGCTTACAGCCCAAACCTCAGACCATATTAAAACAGGATTATTGTCATTTTAATCAGCTGCTAATTTGCCAAATCTACTTTCTTGCTCTGACAATTGCTGGCACTGCAATGCACTGTGTTTCTGGGCCATGTGTGTAACCTGGAGTGCTGACCTTACCTTGACTTTACACACATGCAGCTCTTATCCACTGGGCAATTCCAGGCCATAGTTACAGATTTAAAGCAAAACAAAAATGTGTTTTGTCTTTTGTACCAGCCTGGAACTCACTCAATTTTCTCATATTTTAAACCATGTGAGATGTCTTACAGGCTTCTGTGGTTACTGCTAAGCAAAGGAATTAATTTCTTACACTTAGTACTGCCCTGAGAGTTCTACATGCATTTTTTGTATTAAAAGAAAAAAGAAAAAGAGGAGTGAAGTTACTTAGGCACTTGGCTCAGGGGAGACCAAAGTTAAGGTTTTCTTTGTGATGGCAATTCTGACTGTTACAGTGTTTTCAGAGTTTAAAGTTCTTACCCCTTTATTTCAGACAGTATAACTGTTTGGCTTATCCTGTCACCCAGCTGTTCTCTGGTTTTACTGGTAGCCCATATGTCACGGATTAATCTGGAGAGAGCTTTTGTTTACAAATACACTTTTTCATTGATTATGCATCTGGTATATTGGAATAAAAGACAATCTAATTCTAGCAATTGCACATTTAACATTTATAACTGGGATGTGCATTTCTACACATCAGTTCAGAAGAAGCTTTCCTGCTCTGTGAGGAATCTGCTGTAGTTCAGAGTGGGCCACCAGCAGCTCCTGCAGGGCTCAGTCTGAGTGCAGGCTGAGAGAAACCTGAGGTGACTTGGTGAGATCTGGGCACTGACATGTCAGACACTCCATGGTTGAATAAGGAAAATCCCATCCTGCCTGGAGAATATTATTTGTTTTGCCCAGCTCTGATACCTGCATGGCCCTGCAGCTGGTTATGTAGGATGCAGCTGTAATGAGAAATGAGAAAAAGACCTGTGGAGCACAGGAAACTTAGTAATGCACGTCTCAAAACTAGTCATCCCTCTCTGGCAGTCCCTCAGGTCTGGAGAGCATCTGGGTTTGACAGAGCTGTAACATGAGATGACACAAGTCATACAAATAAAATCTCTCCAAGAATAATAGTTTTCATGGGTGTGCTGAGGCCTGATGCTGTGTGATTCAGCTCAGAACACACCACCTGCTTTCCCATAGCCTTAATAATGCATTGACTGAAGAGTGGGTTCTGTTACATCTCACAGTTAATGCCTACAGAGCCTGGGCTGGCCATCCCACCAGGAATGTAGCTATGCCTTGGCTTTAAGCCTGTCTTGGTCTGCTCCCACTTAAGACACATTTTAATTTGTACTTAGCTGTACCTTCTCACAGAGGTGGTACTCCAGCTTTTGAAAACTACTCTGTTTAAAAATACACTTTCTAAAATATTTAAGTTTTAAATGAATGCTTTGAGAAGCTCTAGGATGAGCAGCATGAAAGTGGAGGAGTCACAGTAAGCTGAGCTCTAGGACAGGCCTTGCTGAGTTCCCAGTGATGCTGGGCCTTCCCAGGTGGGCCATACCCTTCCCCTGGCAGGGAGGCTGATCTCAGTGGTACCTGAGCATGCAGTGCTGTCAGCTCTGCTCTGGTGAGCCCGTGTGTTGTTCTTTGTCAAAGTGCAATCACACCTTGTTTGCTTCAGGCCCAGGTCTTGACATGTTACATTTACTTCTGTGAAACAGAAAATGATCCTCAACTGTTACCAACAACAGTTTATGATTTTGTGGTTTATGATAAGCTTAACTTCTGTATCCAGCTTTGAAGATGGTCCTGGGTGGATGTGAAGAAAACAGTATCTGATACATCCCTTTCTGAAACAGAGCTAATGTTTACATTTGGTCTGGCCACAGTACCTCCACTGGAGTTGCATTTAAACAAAATGTGCCCTTTTAGCTTCACTTGATAAACCATGTTTTCAGCCCAAGGTCAAGTCACAGATGAGAAGCACGGGGTGGAGAGGAGAGCTCACAAGGCATAATTTGAACCTCAGTCAGAAGGAAACAGCATCCAGGGGCTGGGACTAGGAAAAAAGTACACCAATTTTTAGCAGCCGTGATACTGGTTTGGTACAGCTACCAAGAGTTAAATCTTCATTGATTTTATGAATAAAAATAATCTATGTGCCAGCTGCAAATAGCATATATGGTGCAGGTGAAATTCTGATCTCTCTATTAAAAAAGATGGAAGTCCTTTATTATAGTCAGACATTTGTTCCCTCATCTCTGAACCTGAGTGTGTTTCTAGCATGGAAAAATGAAAACATTTGCAAAAATTTATAAACTTTGTGTTTGTGGATGCTCTTTAGTGATAAAGTAATTGGAACTAACCAATTTGGGTTTGTTTTTAACCATCTGGAGTTAATTTATTTTTTTTTTAACTTAATTTAAAATGTTGGAGTTTTTTGTGAATGGAAATGTCAGTTGATGATGAATATCATGGAATTCTACCACGTATTTTTTTAAGTGTTTAGTCACTGTGGTTGTTATAGCTGAAATGAGTACACTAATTTGTCTTTGGTTTCTTAATTTTGTACTTTATCCTCCAGCTGCTGAAGTAATATAAATGTAGAGAACTTGAAAGCTGTGACCATAGAAATACTGAACTTTTTTGGGTTTTGTTTTCAAAGTTATTTTGAGTTTATCCTGAACTTCAATTTTTTTTGTTTGTTTGTTTGTTTTTTTATTGGTTTGGTTACAAGGTTTGTCCAGAGGGGTCGCATTTATCCGGTTTGACAAAAGGTCAGAAGCAGAAGAGGCAATTACAAATTTCAATGGTCACAAACCCCCAGGTTCCTCCGAGCCCATTACAGTGAAGTTTGCAGCCAACCCTAACCAGAACAAAAATGTGGCACTGTTGTCGCAGCTGTGTCATTCACCAGCTAGACGGTTTGGAGGGCCAGTGCATCACCAGGCACAGAGATTCAGGTAGGTTAGGAAGAATAAATGCATTTAAGGCTGTGCTCCTGTTCCTGTGGTTGTGTGGGGAGCTGTGCCCCCGCAGCTGGGCAGTGATGCCTTCACTGCAGCATGTGTGAATGAATACATAGTGCACCATCTGTCCTCAGTGTTATGTAAAGAAACTGTTGCATTAAAATGTGATTAAAGAAAAATCTTATTTGTAAAATTTATATTGAAGTTAGTATGTAAAGGTACCTGCACTCCAGTGTCTGTTTCCACTGCTGGGTTACAGTGAGGGGATGGCAGCAGCAGGTTCCAGGTGGGTGTTGGTAGGTGCCTGTCTCAACAGATCCCCATTCTGTGGTTTGTATATCTGAACACAGATAGAATTTGACAACTTAATTAAAGCTCTGAATGGTTGGTTCCAGCAGGGAGGTGTTACAATAAGAAAGGAAAACCTTATTTCTGACGAGGAGGTTCTGTGGGATTCCTGTCTGCATTGCAACCTGTGCAGGGTTCTGCCTTCCCTCGAGACCTCAGGAATTTACTGATGAGAATATTGAGCAGTTGCAGCTTCCTGTCTGCTTCCAGGGCTATAGAAGACACTGTGCTTTGTCATAGAAAACTGCTTTGGTTGCTTTGAATATGAATTGCTTGAATTGGAAATGCCTTGGGTGTTTGTGGAGGAAGCTGATGGTTGGAGGGTGCTCTGGAAAATGCAGTGTATTGACTGTCTTGCAGAGAAGCAATAGGCTTTGAGATGATATATGTTTCTGAGAGTGGTGGTTCCCTGTTGAGAATTTACTCTTTTTTTTTTAATGTTCGTTTTATTGTGAGGGATCCAATGAGCTCAGTACAATTGGACTAAAATCTCAGCCACCTTTTAGCTGTGCTGCTGTTCCAGTGTTGCTGTCTCCTGTCCACAGTGCTGTAGCTCAGCATGTTGAGCACAGCTCTGTGTAATGAGTCTCCAGAGAAAATCTGTACTTTGTAGTCAGTAGTGATTTTATACTGAGAGTGGTTGAACAGTTTGCCCAAGGAGGCAGTGACGTTTCTGTCCTTGGAGATGCTGAAACCTGGCTAGAATTGATACCAAAAGGGTTCATCTAATTTCTCTTGTGCCTGTGTAGTTTTAGCAGGAAACAGGGTATGCAGCATCTACTTTCTGAGCAAGGATGGTTGAAAGATAAGGGGAAGACATCTGGCTTAGGAATGCAGCTACAGCCAAAACAAGGACTGAACCTGGGAAACTGGGGAGAGCTTTATGGTAATGAGCAAAATATGCACCTGGTGACTGTATACAAGCAACATGCTCGTAGAGGATCACGTGCACACAAGGTGGAGCTGTCCCCTGTGCAGCCAGGCCTGTCACGAATAGTGAATGCCCTTCTGAATGCTACATTGGTGTTAAGGGTTGTATTTGACCAGTTTTTGGTGAGTTTTGGTGACAGGATGAGCCTGAGCAGCCTGCTCCAGGTGCCTTGCTTCGAGCAGGGGGTTTATTAGAGGATCTCCAGAGGTCCCTGCCAGCCTCAGTTATTCTCCAGTTCTCTTCAGCTGTAACCCAGGGAAGTCAGCTCAGGCAGCTCCTCCTTTCCCTGAAGCAGTCACCCAGGTCTCCACACCAAACCTCCTGAGCCATGATGAGGAGTGAAATTCTGCATTGTTTGCATTTAGGTGAATTATTAAAAAATCAACACATCTGCCCTTTGTCTCAGCCAGGGCTTCAGTGTGTCCGGATCCTAGTCAAATCTTTTTTATTCTTAATGTTCTTAATTTACTTGGACATTTTCATCATCATTCTTCCCCTTAAAATTTATGCCAGGATCATAGTGCATCAGAATAAGGAGTGAAAATAATATTCACATCCATAATTAAGAGACCAAATACTTTGAATTCAATCTTGTAATGATCACTCAGGAACAATAAAAATTATTTATGTATTTATATTAACAGTTGCTGGTGAAACTAAATTTTAATAACCAGTTTGTTCATTATTCTCTTAATGTACTATTTAGAGCAGCATTGATGTCAATTGTGTGCATTTCATAGAACCACAGGCTGGTTTGGGTTGGAAGGGACCTTAAAGCTCATATTGTCCCACCACTGCCATGGGCAGGGACACCTTCCACTATGCCAGGATGTTCCATGCTCTGTGTAACCTGGCCTGGGACACTTCAGGGATGGGGCAGACACACACAGTGTTTCTGTAGGCTTGGGGTGTTACAGTGGGGGTTAAGAGGAAGAAAATGTTCTGTCTCTGTTCCATTCCTGCTGCCCTGGGAGCTGTGTCCTGCTGGGTGTCTGTGCCCAGTGCTTGTTTGTCAGCACACGTTGGCTGGCTGCTGCTCCCAGGGGCAGACCTGCTGCTGGGGAAAGAGCTGAAGATTTTGGGGTCCCACAGCCTGGCAGAGGTGGGAGTAGAGCAGTTGAGGTAAGGTTGTGCTTTCAGGAAGGCACTGTGGACACAAGAGCCCCCAGCTGACTTGCAGACACAAGCACTTCATCTCTACCTTGTCACAGACTTGTGAAAGCTGCAACACTTACTACAAAGCTTCCTTCCCTCAGTCACTCGTGCAGGCACGTCTGTACACGTATGCACAAGGCTTGCACCATGGGGTCATGGAATTATTAAGGTTGGAAAAGACCTCCAGCATCATCAAGTCTGTCCCACAACCCTTTACATTTTTTAGTGTTAGCTGCAAGTTCTTCTAGTGAGTCTGTCTTCCTTGAAGGATGCTGAACTGAAGGAGTTGTGATTACTCATGCTGTGGTTAAGCTCAGGAACCCGAGTTTGGGCTGAGTCTTGTTTGTTTTGGTAGTGAACAAGACATGATGAATGGATAAGCAGCTTCCACAGAGCCTGCAGTCTGTGTAAATTAAAGTTGTGATCTCTGCTCCACAGAGGTTGAATATGTAATCTGATATTTTGATTACATTTCATCTCATTTTATCAGAATCCCTGCAAGTCCAGGATTAAGCCTTTAGTATCTAATTTGTAATTATTAATTTCCTACAGATATTTCTCCAACCCTTTGTTTAATGTTCTTTTAATCCTTTTGAGTTCCTGTGGTGTTTGTGGCTCACATCAGGAACTGGTCTTAGTGCTGTGTCCCACTGGATTCCTGGACTAACTCAAAGACCCAGACTCTCTGCTTCCATCCAGAGGGAATGATGCCCACAGCATGGGATTGTGTCTGGAGGACAGATAAAACATCTGGGGCAGGGATTTCTTTAGAGTGTAAGATTTGTTCACTTAAAGAAAATAGCAGTTCTCCAGGTGCTGAACTGTGATGAAATGGAGGGGTTTAGCTCCTGAAGCATGAGGAGGCTGCTCAGGTCCCCTGCAAGTCCTGTGCTTTTGCAGCTCACCAGAGCTTTATACTAGAGCAACATTCTTTCAGACCTCAGTTATTGCCAGTTCAGTTGGCAAACTCCAAGCTTTCAGACTTGTTCAGGGTTGGAGCCAGCTCCTGTAATGGGCGTAACTCTACCAGTATCAGTCCATGGGTTCTGCCCTGAATGCCTGAATTGGAGCCATTTGTGATAGTTCTTTGATCCAAGGGGAAATGCAAGAAGACTGTTTAATCCTGTCAGTGATACAGTTGCTCAGACAGCTCTTGTACACCTGCTTGGTTTCACTCCAGTGAAATTGTTTACATTTTCAGTTTTTAGACCAATTTGTAATTTGGGTGCAAGCTGAGTAGAAACCATTTCATCCAGAGAAGTATTTCATCAAAGTTCTGGAAGAATATGGGAGTAAAACTCCAGTTGCTTCTGTTCTTCCTCTCATGGTTGTTTGACCCAACACCGTGATTTTTTCAGGCTTAGAGCTTGTGTCACTGAGTTTTCAACAAGAATTGTATTGCCCACAGCAGATCTTTTCTGTCTGTAACAATGACAGCAGAAAAAGTTGCTTGTCAGAAGGACATTCTCAGTGTAGCTGAGCTCCTGCTCTTTGTGGAACTATTTAAAAATAAAAAGCTGCCAAGCTCAAGTGCAATGGCAACACAAGCTGGGATTAAAACTGATGTTCCTGCTTTTTGGCATCCCACCCGTGGTGCTGTATGGAACTGTCCTCAGAGTGCAGGCAAAAGAGTTCAGCAAAACCAGCACAAAGCTATGTTAGGGGAGGTTTAGGTTGGATATTAGGGAAAGCTTCTTGCCCCTGGCACTGCCCAGGGAATGGTCCCGGCCCCAAGGCTGCCAGAGCTCCAGGAGCGTTTGGACAGCGCTGCCAGGGCTGCTCAGGGTGGGCTGTTGGGGTGGCTCTGCAGGGACAGGGGCTGCCCTGATGGTATCTCTGGGTCCCTTCCAGCTCAAGAGTTTCTGTGCTTCTGTGAAAAGAATTTGTAGCACTTGCATAGACCTAAAAAGAAACTGCTTTCATTCAGGAATGTAATTTCTGAGATTACATTGTCCAGTGAGTTAAACTAATCTCAGGATCTGTTAAATGAAGCAGTCTGTTAATTGCAGAGGGAGCAAAAGGTCATTAATAGAAACAGGAAGCTTGTAAAGTAAAAAAGAGTTGTGATGGAAAATACACTGTTGTTGATACCTAATGCTCCAAGATGTTGGTGTATTAGGTTAGCATGGCTTGAAGGAACCAAAGCAAATAACACTGGCTACAGACTCTTTGGGAGGCCTGAAAAAGCAATGTGGAGGAGACAGTATAAAAATAATTTCAACAGAAATGAGGACACCTGCTGTAAGTGTGCTAAGACTGAAATCGTTCAAATTACAATATTAAAGGAATTTTAAAATCACTTTCTCTGAAACATCCTGAATCTCTGTTGGCCTTTGTGTTTGCCATAGTAGGATGGTCTTTTAAACATCTTTAATAAGTGTGACTTCCTAAAGGTCATCTTAAATTGGCGTGGCCACAAAAATCTGTCCTGGTAGGACAGGGAGCTGTGTGTCAGCTGCTCTGGCACTGCTCATGCAGGCTGTTACCCTGAGCTGAGTGACAGATCTGGGGTCCCTCTTGTGCAGAGTGAGAACAGACATTTATCAGATTAGCTGAATAGTATTTACTGTAGGGTTTTTGTTGTTTTTTTTTTAATTACTTTTCTAATATTTTAGGGCACTTGTTTGGTTTTACCCTGTTTTGTTTGGTTTGGGTATTTTAATAAACCTGTAACATTTTTGTGAGTCAAAGCAGGAATAGAGGACAATCTGTTTGAAGATAAGTGTATCCAAAAAGCAGACGTACTTGCTATTTTAAATTGTCTGTTACAAGCATTTAGATTTGTTGTTTTCTTGCATTTAACACCAGTTGCTCTCCTACAACTGATTGCAGTCCTTGGTGTGGTGTTACTGGGCTCCTGGGCAGAGCCTGAGCCTTGGGAGCAGGCAGGGGCAGAGCTGTACTGACTGCTGGAACCAACATCAGGCAATTCTGAGCTCAGTGCTTTGAGAAGGGATTCAGGACTGGTGATCTGTTGAGATGGAAACTTGACAGATATTAAGATAAATTCATCCTACCAGATTATTACTTTCTTGGAAAGAAGCTACAGAACTGAAGGTGTCTGTCAGAACAAGTAAGTGTATCAAGCATGCAAGCACAGGAACGTTTATATACAAAGCCAAAAGAAATACCAGATGTGTCACCTCTCCATCAGATCATGCGGGTTGGTATGTCTCATTCACCTTGTGGTACTTCTAACTGCTTTTTCAGTTTGGCTGTAGTTCAAGGCTTCCCAAACTTGTTTTTTCTTGGGACTGGCTGTCAGTGAGTTGCTGCAGCTCGGGAGTGTCCCACTGTGCTCTGGGAGCCCCTGGGCTGCAAAGCTGCAGCGAGGGAGGGATGGAGTGTCACTTGCTCTGGGGACAGGAGAGTCCAGGAGCTCAGGTGTCCAAGGCAGGGAGCTCTGAGCACCAGAGAGCCTGGGGGAGATGGGCACTGAGTGGTTCTCGTGTGTGAGTGCACAGTGTGTGTGTGAGTGTGCACTGCCATCCCTCTGCTCCCCTCCCTCCCTCCCTGTACTCCTTGAGCTCTCCCTCCTCAAGAAGGGCAGCAGCAGCTCCTTGATGCAGGGCAAGAAAGAGTCAGAGGGGAAGCATTTGGCACTTACTGCAGCATTCACTGCCCAGACATCCCTTCCCTGTTTCCTCCAGGTCAGCAGAGAATCAGGATCTGCCACCGCCCTGCTCTTGGCAGAGAGCAGCTCGTGTACCGCTTTTAAGGGGTTTGCAAATCACCAGTGGTACACCTCAATTTGGGAACCCCTGGTATAGTATCATTATATTTCTATGATCACATGACCTCATATTTTTAAATAATAAATAAGCACAAGGGTTCAAAGTGAGTTTTTGACCTTAACTTTCACATTTCCTGGCCTTTGAGTGCTTAGCTGTGCAACCCTAATATTGCACTAAAATATTCAGAAACTTTGATTTTCTGGAGTGTAGGCCAGAAATAGGATAAAGGGGAATAGAAATGTGGGTTATAGGGAAAAGAAAATAATACAAAACAAGACATTAAAAGGAGAAGATTTTTGCTTTTTGTTATGCATGAATCCTGCTGAGGTATTGTGAAGGAGGCAGGATTCAGGAAGAATGGGTAGGTGATTTTAAAAATCCAGTTCAGTAAAGTCAGATCTGAGTTTTCCTGGAAAAATTATCAAAACCACCCATACACACTGGAATAATAAAACTGCACTGAGCCTGCTCATGTTGTGAGTGTTTGCCTGCACCTGCTGCCTTTGGGTGGAAAGGGAGTAGGTTTTGTTCTGCTTCACAAAAGAAGAAATTACAATCTCTACTCCTAAGAACACTTATCCCCTGCCCCAGCAAACCCAAAGAAACTCTTTGACTTAAAGAGTTTCCCAACATGTTCTTTTAGAGGCAACAAAAGGAGCAAAGGAGCATGGGGTGAAAAAAAATCTCCTTCTGTGAAATAAGTGGGAGATGCCTGAGGGTGTCTGGGGCCTCTGGGGAGGTGCTGCCTGTGCCCCCGAACTCGAGCAGTTCTGCAGCAATGCCCTGGACACTGAGCAGCCTGGCTGAGTTCAGACATCAATCCAGGTTCCCTGGGAAGGTGATCATGTAATCTAGCCTTGCCTATTTCTAAGGATAGTTCCCTGTTGATAAAGCAGTTGGAATACTTAACTTTTTTTTTCTGGCAGCTGTCAATTTGATTGTCAATTTGAATGGGGAAACATTTATGTGGCGGTTTTGATGTGCCATGTATAAAATATTCATTCTCAGTTGCTTCCCATTCAAGTTAATTTGCTTAATTGAACATGAAATATTGTGCTTTTTATTTGCTAGGTTCTCTCCTATGGGTGTAGATCACATGAGTGGGCTTTCTGGTGTAAATGTTCCAGGAAACGCATCTTCTGGCTGGTGTATCTTCATCTACAACCTTGGTCAAGATGCTGATGAGGGAATCCTCTGGCAGATGTTTGGCCCCTTTGGTGCGGTTACCAATGTGAAAGTTATTCGAGATTTCAACACCAACAAGTGCAAAGGTTTTGGTTTTGTGACCATGACAAACTATGAAGAAGCTGCAATGGCCATAGCAAGTCTTAATGGCTACCGCCTGGGGGACAAAATCTTACAGGTTTCCTTCAAAACCAACAAGTCCCACAAATAACTTGCTCGTGCTTTTTGTATGGAATAGATAATGGAGTGACAGAAGTTGAAACATTTTTGTTAGTGTAAAACTCATTTTGCGCCAATTTTCACAAGTGTTTGTCTTAGTCTAAATGAGAAGTGAAAAGGTTTTATATTCTGGGATGCAACTGACATGTTCAAATGTTTGAAATCCCACAATGTTAGACCAATTTTAAGTTCCTTTAAGTTATTTCATTTAAAACATGTTAAAAATCCCCTGAAATCTCAAGTAGATTGCATTAACTAGACCCTCTGGATGGTGGTAAAATTGAAGCATGCTTTCACTTATGAGACTAACATTTGTTTCATTGAATGTTGTCTGCAAAAACTGGAATTTTCTGAAAAATATCAGGCTGAATTAATTGATTTTCTTTGGTTTTATGTTGTTCTTCATACCCATCCCCCTGTCCTTTTGTTCCCCCTCAGTTTTAGTAGTATGGAAGAAAAGTTGAGAAATACTAATGTTTTAGTTGACAGTAAATTGTTTGATAAATTAATATTCATTACTCTGTGTCTAGTTGAGGATCAGGCTTTTTAAAGTCAAGGTCTTGTAAGTAGTAGCATGCCAGCCTAACTTTTAACACCATTGAGGAGGTAAGTTGCACACTGAGCAGTGGCCAAGCTGTCCAATTCACAGGTTTTAGAAACGTGACTTTTAAAACCCACTTTGAGAGGAATGGACCAAAGAGTTTCAAAGAAACTCCGGGAAGATTTCAGAGTCAAAATGAAACTCCAAAAAAACGAGTGTGAATATATGTTGCTACTTTATCAGACTGAATCTCTTCTGTCCAAATATTTAATGCATGGTGCACTACTTACTGGTACATTATAATGCAGCAAGATACTTACTCATTTTCCAAGATCATTGTAGTTGGAATCCTTTGGCAGTTCTATTTTGTAAAGAAAAACCAGTTATAAACATTTGAGCATTGTATTTCTCGCATCCCTTCTAATGAGTGCTAGTTTTTCTATTTTAATAGGATTTTGTTTTGACAACTAGCTTTACTTACTGAACACTCAGCAGAAAAGTACTTACAACTTGCAAGTTAGATATTAACCAAAAAACCCCTTTGATTTGTAGATTTAAAGATTAATCCCCCAGGTTTTCTGCAGACTGCCTTGAAACTTTGAGTTGTTCTGTTTCTGTTAATTTTCTTTTGCTTTTTTGTGTTTTTTGTTTGTTTTTACTTTTGCATTTAAGAACATTAAATTTGATTTTGTTTTGCTCAAATTTTGTTTTGTTTTTTATTTTCTGTTCTTTTTTTTGCTAAGTATTGCACAAAGTGTCCAGCTTTCAGAGTGCTGTTTAAGGAACTGTAGCTCTGCTTTAAGAGAATTTTAATTTGCTGCTTTGACAGATGAGTAGAAGAAAAAGAGTTTTGAAACAAGCACCACAATAAATCTGTCACATAGAAATGAGTGTCACAGACTGATGTAAGCCTCAGGTGTGCTTGGGTAGGAAACTGGGAAGGCTGACCCTGCCTGTACAGGTGTGTGAGCTGCTTGTGCACAACTAGAGACTTGCCTCTGGTCTTTATGTAGGTAGGGCAAGTGTGGTAATGAGGTCTGTGGCAGTTCAGTGCAGTGTCTCCTTGTTTTGCCCGAATCTCTACCAGCCCCAGAGTTCATTTCAAACTCGAGCAGCCAGTCCATGCTGCTGTCTCATCTCACTCCATCCCCAGCTGACCTTGCCTTGTGCTTGCTGCCTTTGCCCTCTCCTTGTCCCCTCCCTGCCATGAATCTGCACAGCCTGAGGGCTCCCTCAGCCTCCACATGTGTCTGAGCTGGTGCCCAGCTCCAGGGAGGACCTGTGGGAGCTGCTGGTGTTCTGGGAGCTGCCCAGGACATCTAAACCCTACAGATAGGCCTTGGCCCAGCGAGCAGCCATGTGCTGAGTTTGAGCTCGTGTGCAGTGAATGCAGGTGGGATTTTTCCTGGTGAAGCATCCAACCTTGCCTCTCCTGCCAGTCTGTTCCCTCCCCATCTCTGAGACTCAGTGCTCAGTGGAACAGTGGCTGTGACACAGCAGCCAGCCCACTCCCACCCCCCAAAGGTGCTCTTGGCTGTCAGAGGTTTCCTTCCAGCAGTTCATCACCATCCATTTATCACGTCTATGATTATTTCCTTTCTGCGTACGAGGAGAGCTTGGGAAGTGTTTGGGTGTTCTCCCAAGTTCCAGCTGTGTAGCACAGAGAAGTTCTCTTACATGTCCCGTCATTGTTGAGCCCTGCACTGTCCTGTTCCACAGGAGTGGGCTGTAGTCATTCCCAGTTCCTGTCATTCTCTCTTGCTTTATTCCATTTAAGATAAATTTGCTGCTAAACTAAAATAGGAGTTGCTGTTTATCACAGTATTTAGCGGGGGTTCAGACTTCCAGCGAGTGACCCCTAAGCATGACTCTGTATCAGTACTGGTTCCAAGCACACTGGCCATGGCAGCAGCACATTGCTGTGCTGCCACTTCTGAAAAACCCTCTTCTCTTGGATGCTTTTTGGCATCACTGTTCCTTTCTTTTTCCACTGCTTCCCTATTTTTCCATCCCTCATTCTTTGCTAAGTAAGAAGGAAATGTAGGATATGGTTTGTACTGCTACTACAACAATCTCTTTTAGGAAAGGTCTGATTCCAGCTTTCTTTGATAGTTGCTCTGATAATAATTTTTGGGCAGTTGGTATGAGCAAAGCACTGCTGCTCGAGTCAGGAAAAGACACAAAACTCCTGCTAATATCCAGAGCTGATACCAGAAGTAGTGTGTGATGTGTGCTATTCTAACAGTCAGTAAAATCTTGGCATAAATAGCTGGAGTCCAGAAAAAATTCTTGATGCTTTTGGTCCTAAACCAAAATGCTTGTGCATCATACTAGTAAAGACCAAAAGGAAGCTTCTTGGGGGTGGAAACTAAATTCTGACAAGACATCTGCCAGGAGTTCTTCTGCCCAAAAGGTAGTAGCAGCTGGTTTCCTCCTCACGTTGCTTTGAAGCTCTCACTTGAACAGACTTGTTTCAAGAGGGGTTTTGGCCTCTTAATTGTCAAAAAGTGCTCTGCTTTTTCATCCATCCATTTGATGGAAGCTGGGTGTTTCTGTCAGGTGATGCTTCTATCAGCAAGTGCTTACAGGATCTTTGTAGAACCAAAGGCTGTCTCAAAGCAGAGGTCTCGCATTGCTCATGAGATTCAGTGGTCTCATTGAGTTATGGAGTTCTGGAAAGTCTTCATTGCAGGACTAGGATGTGATAACCAGATTTTGGGCACCTTAATTTTTTGGTCTGTACTGTGAGATGTGCTACTGGAACAGCTGAGATGGGAGTGGTTTTGGGTCCTTTAGAGTAGGTTAAGAGTCTCTTGGGACAGCCCCCAGTGTAGGTGCTGAAGGACCAGGTGTAGTTCCTGCTGAAAACACAGTTGGTCATGCTGCTGTCACAGGGTTTCATGTATAGATGTTGAGGGGAGTCACTGCATTTGCTTCCCAGATGTCCACATGAATGGAATTCACCCTGTGCAGAATGCTGGCCATGAGCCTCATCACCTGTAAACCTCCTGTTAACCATTAGCAGATAGGGAAGTCCCACATAAATACGGAAGAGGAATCTTGGGCTGGTGTGAGCTGGCAAAGGCACATGCAGATCCTTCAGGTGAGGGGATGGCAACACCAGAAATCCAGATGTGAGCAGAATCCAAGCAGCTCATTGTGTTCAGTTCTTAGTGATTCCCTGTTAGATGGTGTCTGTGCACTGAGGTGTTGATTTATTTTATTCTTCAAGCTGCAGTATCATAAAATTTGGTTTACTTGAGCTGCTCCACTCTCCTGTCAGAGACTGGCCAGTGGAGTTACTGTTACCTCCTGAGCCTTCCTCTGCCAGTCCCTACATCTGTCCTAGCTCTGGGACTGGGAAAGGCTTCAGGATCCAGCTGTTAGGGTTAGGGGAGAAGTCACATCACCACCGTGGTGTGTGTGGCCACACAGCTTTTCCTTCCTTTTGCTTGGATATGTTTTTGTACATCTGTATCATGTGAGTATGAAAACCATGGAAAATCCAGAGACAAGTCACTGGAACAGGATAAATCGTCACCGCAGTGAACACTGGTTGGTCAGTGTGTGGTCACTTGCCCTTGTCCAGATGACCAAAGGGTGTTTGCATGCAGAGGACACCTATTTTTATAGGGGTATTGAACATTGCAGTAATGTTATTTATACAAAGCAGTTAAAAATCTTTTTAAAAAAAGTTTTTTAAAAACTTGGTGTAATTTATAGACAGAATATCCAGCAGTCAAAACCAAAATGATGAACTAACTATGAAGGTGATCCATTATTTTAAGGCCGAGTTTGCAAAATGAATAGTCCTTAAGGTCCTTCAACATTTGTTACAATTCCATGTTGCTTTAATGTTCTGGGTAAGGTCAATAAAGTAGAAATTCTTCAAATACTTCAGGAGAGATTTTTTTCAGTGCATTTTAAACGGCAATAATTCAGATTCCTTTTTGGATAGTTTATCATTACATATGTGTTTTAAAAAAACAAACTTGGAGAATGTCCCCGTGTTTACTTTTCTAACACAATATACAGGTCTTATGATAAACTGTTTATTCAAAGTAGCCTCCTCTGATAGCTCTGCCTGCAGAAGGTTAGAGTTTGTGGGAGGTTTTTAGCACACAGCTCTTGTGAGTGCTGGCAGCCTGGTTCAATCACATAAACCTGGAGCAGTTTGTCTGGAGGCTGCCTCTGTCAGAAGGTCACCGCATTTTTTATTTCCATAATGAAGAAATGTGTCCTTTGTAACTGTCGATGAAGCACCTTATTGTTACATTTCTACGTTTAGGCATCTACAAATAGCTTTAGAGGGAAGGGACCAAATTCACCTTTAGCACAAAGAAACACCAACCCCTTGAGCTCTCTGAGTGGAGCTGCACTTGTGTTTTGGCTTTTTCTCATTTTGTTTTTATTTTCTAAGAGATGAATTTGTCGCCTGAGGTCTTTTAATCTCTATTTGGAAGCAGGAGAGTCTTTTTGTGCCTTCGGCAAGTTCCTCTAATGTAGCTCTGCACTTCTCAAGATTGGCTGCTCAGCACAGTAGAATGGATAAATCCAGAGCTCAAGAGGACAGTGGTTATTTTCTCTGATTATTATATTTATTATTACTGGGTTTCTCCTTACTAATATTAAACAAAAGAGAAATGTGGAGTTCCTAAAAAGGGTCTCAATTCCCTCCCTCTCGCTTGGAAGAGGCGGTGCCTCCATGACAACCAGTGGATTGAAAATCACCGGTAATTTCTGCCTGTCCGCTCGTAGCTTGATCAGGTACGGTGTCATTTCAGTGGTTGCTGTTTGTAGTAGTCTCATGTAGTCCAACAAAACCAAACTCAAAGTGTTGCTTTCTCATCCTGCATGATTTAAAACCAGTCCAAGTCTTTATGATCTCTAAAGCATAACTGACCACCCCATGGGTGGGTTTGACATTCAGCTCTGGAGATTCCTTCTCGATCACTCTCAATGAAACAGCAACAAAGGTTTAGAAATATTTTTCTGTTGAGTGGAGTTTTCAGCACTGAAATTCTCTTTTGTTGCTAATGATGGAAAAACAGTAATGGTAGAACTGCCACCTGAAACCTTGGAAAATTGCTTTTGTGTTCACATTTTAGAATCTCAGTATTCTCCTACTGTTGTTCCTTATTTCTAGACATTTTTGAGCAAGTTTTTAGTGGTATGGCTGAACTTTTTCACTTGGTCATTGAGAAGAAAATTACTTGAGACATTTGAAACATAAGTTGGGATAAACCTTTATTTGATGAGTAATTTGAATAATACTGTACTTCTAGTATTTTTATTGATTTCCTTTCCTTTAACTTATGTAATCTTTTGTTTATAAATTAATCTGTTTGTGGGACAGAAGGTTTTATCTATTGCTTTCCATACTGTACAGTATATGGTTACACATTTTGTATATTTAGTGTGTTTTTAAGTTATTGATTTGTTTTATATCAAATAATTTATTTTTCAGGTACCATTTTCATTTAAACTTTGTTTTTACATGGGTTTACTTTAAATAAAGTATGACACTGCTTTCCAAATGTCTAAAATGAAGTTGAATCCCATTGTGTTATTTTGAGATGATTTATGTAAATTAACTTATTTTAGAAATACCTGCAAAAATGTACCAAGTTCATACTTTGGTTGTGCTTCAGTTCAAGTGCTTGGAAATTCTCTGCAATGATTTTTGAGCAGTTTGAAAAAAT